AAATAAGAAGATGTGTGTTTTAAGTTTTGTTTCTGTAAGACTTAAGGCTTAAATTTCAGGTTCATGTGCTGCTGTCTTGGATGAATATGTCCTGACATAACTTTGGGAAAAAATGATTCATGAAATAAAAAGTTCAAGATCAAAATCTTGAATTGGAAAAGGCTTCTAAAACGAGCTTGATCGGACACTAGTTTTGTGAACGTGTATAGGTCTCTGTTCTCTTCCTTTCCTGTTCTTCTGCACTCTTGTATCTTTAACACCCAGCTTTATTTATTATTTATGAAGGAAAAGTATGTCATGTAATTATTAGCCCATGTAGTTAGCTAGCTAGCCATAGTGTTTCGATTTTTATATTTTTAAAAATTATATTAAAATCTTGATACTAAATTATTTAATTCAGTTTTTTCTCTTGAGATGAAAATACCGCATGCACTGTTATATACAAAAAATAATATTAAAACAAAATTAAAAAGATAACTTTATAGTACTATTCTCATGGATGTTAATTCTCCTTCAGTAATTTCTATGAAAGCAACAATCGAAAAACTAACAAATGAATGTGGAGAAAGCAAGATCATAAGAGAGATTCTTTTTATTAAATACTTCACTTTCCAACAAAACCTTTGAAAATACGAAGAGAAAATATAGAGAAATTGAATAATACTACCTCACTTCGTTTTCCAACGAAGCTCCTCTCACTCTTGATTTTTTTTTTTAATGATAAGAATAGTACTATGAAATTATCTTTTTAACCTTATTTTAGTACTAATATCTGCACGTGGATAGCACGTGTGATATTTTTGTGACGACATGAGATAAAATATAATTAAATATTTTATTTTTATAAATAAAAAAATCCTAATATAATTTTTAAAATATAGGGATTGAGATGCTAAGGATAACTAATTACAATAGATAATCTATAATTAGCTCGACATATGATCACATAATAAAATTTTATAAAATGAAGATAAAATAAAAAAAAGTCTTTTTATGTCCATATATATCACAAATATACGGATAAATTTATTTTAATATAGATGTAATATTTCAAGCCCAAGATAACTTAAATTGACTTTTGAAGATTAGATGAGTCCATTATCGTTTAACTTAAATAAATATTATAATCAATTATTTAAATTGATAAAATTGATATATTAATTAATCTATCCATAAGAATTTTATGGAAGGAAAGGAAAGGAAAGGACTCAATAGAGGAGGGCATCAATTGATCGTATCAATTTGATTATATATGCACTTATTTGCAGTTCCATTAGATCGATGAGTTTATGTAACATTAACTAATTAATTAATTAAAAATAAATAAAATATATCTGTAAAATTTGCATGCAAACCTTCTCAGAGTTAATTAAATATTATCTCATATAATTAGTTATCCTTAATATTTTGATTCTTATATTTTTAAAAATTAAATTAAGATATCTATATTTATCAAATTTAAATATTTAATCTCGTTACTCCAATAAACTCCTCCTGATAATTAATCTATCTTTTTAATCGGAAACTCAATATTTTACTTTCATAAATATAAAAAATTAATATAATTTTAAAATATATATAAAAATATAGAGACACTAAATATAATTAATTATTAAGAATAATATATAATTAGCCTCTCCCTACAGGCACCAAATCCAGCGCGAGAAGAGACAATACGACGAGTAGCGCACGTGTCAATCAACTACTGGCTAATAACTTATCCAAAGCCTGGACGACGAGATAAGATAAACGCGACGCCCCCTCTCCAACTCGAGAAAGAGAGAGAGAGACGGCACAAGCGATGGCTTCCATGGCAGGCTTACGCGGCTTGTCCCAGGCATTGCTCGAAGGGAGCCTTCAGCTCGGCGGCTCAAGCAGGCTCGCCGTTCCCCGCGGCAACCGCGTGGCCGTCGCCCGGCCCGGGCTTGCCGTCCGAGCCCAGCAGCAGGCTGCGACCGAGGGTGATTCCTCCGCCGCCCATAGCAGCCGCCGCGCTGTGCTTGGTATCGTGGCCACCGGGCTCGCCGGCGGATCCTTCGTCAAGGCCGTGCTCGCCGATGCCAAATCCATCAAGGTCGGCCCGCCTCCCCCGCCCTCCGGCGGCCTCCGTAAGTTCTCCGCCCATTCCTCGCATCATCATTACCGTATTCGGACCCCTGTTGGTACTGTTCCCTTGAAATACTTACTCTGGAATTGGGTGTTTACTTCACAGCTATGTCTTCATATTGATTCTTCTTACATATCCTAAATGAATACATGGTAAATTATGATCTTTAATCTCTTCCGAAAGAGTAGAACTAAAATTGCTTGTTGCATTTACCTTCTACTGCCGATAGCTGGGACCTTAAATTCCGATCAGCCAAGAGATCTTCAGCTTCCACTGAACCAGAGATTCTATCTGCAACCACTACCTCCATCGGAAGCTGCAGCGAGGGCGAAGGAGTCAGCCAAGGACATTCTAAATGTGAAGCAGCTGATTGATAAGAAGGAATGGCCGTATGTTATGAATGACCTCCGCCTCAAGGCAGGATACCTCCGTTTCGACCTCAATACCATCATCTCCGCTAAACCAAAGGAGGAGAAGAAGACACTTAAGGAACTCACTGGAAAGCTGTTTGCTGCAATTGATGAGGTTAGTGCTTCAGCTTTCATGATCATGTCAATTCACGATATTAAGTCCTATCTAAATTGTCCTCACTTCAATCTGTCGACAGCTTGATCATGCTGCAAAGATCAAGAGCACCCCACAAGCTGAAAAGTACTATGCAACAACCAAATCTCTCCTCGATGATGTTCTTGCAAAGATAGGCTAGAGGGTAAGAATGTGGTTGTGCTATAATCCTTTTTATAAACCACTGATGGGTGTAACTTAGAGAAAATTGAGATTCCAAATGATGAAAACTGCAGTAAGACCAAATCAGATGAGGCAGCAGTTATTGATGAGACTTATGACTGCCTTCAAACATTCTTAACTTCGAAGTAGATCATAGTTCCATTCGAAAATTGAACTGGTCCGACGATTCATCGATTTCAAACTAGACTGGAACCCGACCTGCGCGGTCCGGTTACGGTTATTAAATCGGTGGTTCCTGAACCGAAATCGATTCCGGTTTGAACTGATGATTTTGTATATAATTTTTTCTATTTTAAGGTACTCCTTTGACACCTTTACATTGTTTGTATCCTTCCATCCAATTGATTACAGTGTGGTCCTTGAAAAACTCAGAGCCTTCTTATCTGATCACCTTTGATTCAGCTTCCCTATAAACATCATGCGGATGAGACTGTCTGAATGAAACTTGACAGAGCTCATGTTGAAGATATCTATAAATCTGTGTCCATAGCTTTAGACATACTTCATATTTATGTGATAAATCAAAATTGTGCTACATGGAAAATAGAGAATAACCTACTTTTACTTTATGCTTGTTGTCTAAATTTATCACAAGCTTCATGCCTTGTATCCAAGAGAAAGGAAAGCATCTAATCTTATATCTAACTTTTGCACCTTTTCTGATTCTTATATCATGTCTTCTTCTCTGTTTTTGTCGGAACTGATGCTGTTCATGCAGATTCTGATTCCTTGGCTTACACAGCCTGCATTTGCTGCAGGTCGATGTCTGAACTATTCTTCGGAATTCTTATCTCAATAAAGATATCATCAGTGATGTAAGCTTCCATCTTTGTCCAGTTTGCATCTTCGGGCAGCTCGAGACGCCTAGCAAATCCATACTCCCACCAGGGGCCATTTTTCCAGTCCTTTGGATCAGTTTCTCGCCCTCTCCACCGCCCACTGATCTCGACCACCATTTCCTTCAGGTTGCATACATCCACATCACATTTTCTTGCACCAACTGAAAAAAACATGAGGCTCTTAAGATATTGTAATGCTTAATCAGATTCATGAACATTTAGACGGATCGGAGGCATCTGAATGCTTGGTTTGTCCTCTGTTAATCTTCAAGTAGAGAAGTTTTTGGAGAAGGTTATCATCATACATGTACAGATGAACAAGGAGAGAAGAATACCTGGTAACTCTGCTTTCAGCAGGTAGTCTGCATTCGTTGCGGACCAGTCAACTGTGCTCTTGGAGGCGTTCCGAAGTCCCGAGAGCAATGCGTCCGATTCAAACTCCCATAGAGGGAAGGCATCAGCCGGATCAAAGAACTTCCCGAACAGTAGCGGGCTGAAGAGTGATCCTTCACCGAAGACATTTCGCACAGCAACCCCGCCGTGGACGATGAAAGAATGGAAGGCGTCTTCAGTGAAAGGGACTCTCCATTTATGAGAGTTCTGATCGGCTGGTCCGATCTCTATCACCCTTCGCGCTGGCATTTGCGAATCTGTGTTTAGGGGAGATGACCACGTTGTCTCTCCTTTTATAAGAGATTAAGCTGCCTCTTAGGAAAGCAGAGGTCAGATTCCTCCTGAATTGCTTCAGGGAAAGCTGCTGCTTCTTTCTGTGCCATGCTTATCCACCATAACTTTCACATGCACCAAATGCAGAGGTTAGATTCTGAGACAAATCTGCAGGCTTTCACGTACACTTTCTCATTTGGTTGGGTGACTTTGAGCTCTTTGGTGGTAGCACACGACCGGCAGACAGAGGTGGCTATCTATGATGCTTGATTCCGGGATGCCATCTGAAAGAGAGGAAGTGGAAATTAGCGGCTACCATGAAAGGTCATGTTAGTGTCATGAATAATCATCAACATGACGAAGTTGATTCGACTTTGTACATTTTCCGAATGTTATCATGTTTGAAAGCTGATACCCCTTTAAGATGCCGGAGCTTATGCTCAGCCGCACCTCACTCCTTGGCAGCAGAATTCTGTAAAACTATGTTGGAGTAAGCTCAGAAAACCCCCATTTGATGCTGAAGTCGACAGAAAGCTCTCGAGTATAGTTAGGAGAGTTGCAGGGGGAGTGTATATTTAGAGAGGCCGCTGTACACCCCCCTAGATAAGAGTATCAATAGAGAATCTTTCATTTTGGATGTCGTAATAATTGGACACACTTTAAGTGATATCATATTATCATCATATTGACTGGACATGTATTATCATCATATTGATGTCATGCATTGAGTTATGTTTGGTTGTCAAATTTAATCATTTCGTTTACTCGCAAATTATACTTGAAGAAAAACATTTGTCTACGTTGAAAAATAATGATTAGTTTAGCAATTCCATATGCCTTGGCCACTTAAGGTTACGAGTGTTCAAACCAGTTCGAACAACTGTTAAGAATCGAATCTATTTTTTTTTTAAAAAAATGATTTAGTTCGATTGAAAGGGCTTAGGATAGGGAATTCAATTGGATTGATATTTATTAAATTAAATTTGATTTCGTTCTATTTAAAGGGCTTAGGATAGTGAATCAATTAAGGACTTTATTTTCTTATTATTTCTTTGTTTTTTTTTTCATCTATAAAAGGATTTCAGTATAAGATATCTTACATCACATTTGATATCAGATATTTTGGTTTAGTTAAAATTTTATATCATTAAGATTGATCCGATAGTTCAATTCAAAATGCTTAGGATAGTGAACCAATTAAGGATTTTATTTTATTATTATCTCTTTGTTATTTTTTTTCATCTATAAAAGGATTTCACTATAAGTTATCTTACATTACATTTGAGGCTACTACACACCCCCCTAAGCTAAGGTATCAATAGAGAATCTTTCATTTTGGATATCATATTAATTGGACACACTTTAAGTGATATCATATTATTATCGTATTGATTGAACAGGCCTATAATTAGATTTTGTGCCCTTTATCCAAAGATATATAATATAACTAATTAGATTTTGTTAAAATATTTTAGCCAATAGAATAGAAGTCCACTTAAAGTATGATTCGATAATCTTGATGGGAGAAAATCTCCTAATATATTGTCGTAGACCCTTTGCTCTTGTCTATAAATTGACAAGACCTCTAAGGACTGAGTGCACAGATGCACGTCTCCATCTTAGCATTAAGGGATTACAGTTTTCCTTGTAATTGACAGCAATCTTAGATTAAAGACGGTGCCTTGCAGATCAAACAAAAATCTTTGAACAGACGGCATCAAATGGTACACATCATTAAATTAGATCTATTTGATTTTAATCCTAGCATAAAGATTATTTCTGCATTACAATACAGCATATTTCTTAGATTAAAGACGGTGCCTTGCAGATCAAACAAAAATCTTTGAACAGACGACATCAAATGGTACGCATCATTAAATTAGATCTATTTGATTTTAATCCTAGCATAAAGATTATTTCTGCATTACAATACAGCATATTACAGATTTTTATGCTATCAATTGGTATCAGAGCCTAGGTTTTTTAGATCAAATACCTTAGATCTATTATTTTGATTATAATGCATGATTGATTCCTTTTTCTCTGATGATCAACCTTGCTATGAATTTGTTGATGGTAAAGTTGCATTGGGCAATATGTGTACCGCAGCGCAACAGGCGACAGTCGTACGCGAGCATCACAGTGCCTATGTGACGATCAGCCACACACGGCCAGAACCCATCCATGTGACGGTCGGCCGCACACAGGCAGACAGCCACGAATGCGCGTGGGTAGGCCATGCACAGGCAACTGCCACGAGCTGGCAACAGCCACGCGCGAGCAAGAACCATTACAATGGCCACGCGTGGGCAGAGGCAGCCCCACGGCGACAGCAGTCGCGGCCAGTCATGCGCGTCGTGCGCGGGTAGGAACAGCCGCAGCGGCTGCGCGTGGGCAGAGGTAGCCTTGCGATGGCAGTAGCCGCATGCTGGCAATAGCCGTGGCTAGTCGTGCATGCCGTCTGCAAGCAGGAAAGACCGCAGCGGCCGCACACGAGCAGCGACAGTGCCGCACACACAGGTGGCAACGTCGAAGGTAGATTAGGTTTTTTTGGCATAATTATGGTTTTACCCTCGAGGCTAGGGTTTTGTAAAATTATAATTTTGCCCTTTGTAAATTTCATAATTCTGGTTTATGTTCTGTCAACATATTTATAATTTTGCCTTCGGGTCTAATTTCTGCCAAATTATAGTTCTACCCTTCATAAATTACATATTTTTGATTTATATCATATCAAATATTTATAGTTTTATCATTATAAAATTAAAAAATTCAGGTTATGTTCTTAATTATAAAATTGATAAATATGATTTATTATAATTATGATTAAATTTAATCATGATTATATTTTTTGATTATTTGATTGGATTTAATTTTGATTTAAAAAAAATATAAATTATGGTTTAGTCTTATAGTTTTCTCATATGAATTATTGATTATATATGTGATAAATAAAATCAAAATTCAATTATTGTTCTTGAAATTTTATTTACTTTCACATGTATATATTTGAAATTATGAAATAATGTTTATCTTTCACATGAAGGCATAATTTATATGTTATCATGATTATCATATGAGTTTTTTTTTACTGATTAAGATTCAATAATTATTATGGTTATTTTATTATTAAACTTCTTAGCATTAATGTTTCATAATTACTATGGTTGTTATTTTATTATTGAAAATGCTTAGTATTAATATTTAATAATTATTATGGTTGTTATTCTATTATTGAACTACTTAACATAAATTAAATAATTTTGATAAATATTATTTGTAATTCATCTCCCTAAGTTTTATCTGACTTGTAGGTGCCAAAGTGGCCTGGGATGATAGACTTTTGTGATATTAATTACAATAAAAGTTTTATCATTTATAGGACATTTTAAATTTTATTTTATATTATTGCATTAGTCTTGTAGCCATCAAAATGATCTAGACTAATGATTTATAAAATAATATTAAGAAATTAGTCCTAAATGATATGGAAATAATATTTACAATGACACATATAATTAGGAGATTTAGATAATCTCAAAGAAAAATCTAATTTAAATAATTATGTGATGGGGTAGGATGATACTGTTTTGGATATCCTTACAGTTTAGGGTTGTATACCCAAAAGTAACAACACAATTCCACAAGGATGGTATCAATTCTCTATAAATATTCTTGAGTGAATACTAGATATGTCAATATTTCACCCAAAGGTGTAATATAGATGATATCAATAATTCATCAATTTTTTTGACAAACTCAAAGTATTAATGTTATTCTATATTTTTGCAGTGGTACTTTCGCCCATACCCTTTGGATCAAATTACTCAGAATGGTTAGAACATGTGCAATTCACACTAGGTGTATTAGATTTTAATTTAGCATTACTTGTTGAAAAGCCTACAGACTTGATTGATGAAAGTATTATATAACAAGTTAATGAAATGAAGGCTTAGGAAAGATCTGATAGGCTTAGTTTAATATTCATAAGAATGACAATTGCAAATAACATAAGGACTTCATTACCGATTGCAACTAGTGCAAAGGAATATTTAAAGGTTATTGAAGATAGATTTAAATATGCTGATAAGTCATTGGCTGGCACATTAATGAAAGAACTGACTACGGCTTAATATGATGGTACTCTAGGAATTCAGGATCACATCCTCAATATGGTTGATAAAGCTGCAAAACTTAAAACATTAGGCATGAATGTTGATGAGTCTTTCCTCGTGCAGTTTATTCTCAATTCTCTTTCTTCTCAGTTTGACTCATTCAAGATTTACTACAATACAAATAAGGATAAGTGGGACTTGAATGAGTTAACTAACATGTGTATTTAGGAAGAATTGAAATTAAGGCAGGAAAGTTCATATAATATCATGACTACTACTTAAAACATTATCCATCAAAGAAATTTGTCGGGTCTGGAAATGTTAAACAGACTAATGAAAAGAAAGCTTTTACTATAAACTGTTTTTTTTATGGCAAAAAAGAACATATGAAGAAGGACTGTATTAAACGCAAGACTTGGTTCGAAAAGAAAGGTATTAACTCGACCTTTGTATGTTTCGAATCAAACATTACAGAAGTTCCTTCTAACACTTAGTGGATTGATTCTGATGCTTCAACTCATGTTACCAATAACATGTAGGGATTTCTTTCAATTTGGAAACCAAAAGAACATGAAAGATTCATCATTATGGGAAATCGTCTTAAAGTGAAAGTGATATCAGTGGAAATTTATCGTCTACACTTAGAGACGGGTCACATGATGGATCTTATTGACAATGTTATGTTCCTACAATTTCTAAATATTTAGTTTCTCTTTCTAGAATTGATGAGTTAGGATATTATCTTTTTTTTTATAATAGTAAACTTAATATATTTTATGATTTAATAAAAATTGATTCTGGAATTCTATGTACAAAATTAATTAGATCTTGAGTTTACAAAGATATGAATGACCCTACAATCAAGTGTTAGATTGAAGCGTAGTTTCAATAATAAAAGATCTTCTATATTGTAGCATTGTAGCATAGGCGATTGAGGCATATCGCCAAGGAACAAATTGAAAGATTAGTGAAGGATAATATTTTGGAACATTTAGACTTCACTAATTTTGATGTTTGTATAGATTGTATTAAGGGAAAGCAAACTAAACATATGAAGAAAAATGCCACAAGAAGTAAAAAACTCTTTGAGATTATTCATATTGATATTTGCGGACCACTCCATATTCCTTGTTTTAGTGGAGAAAGGTATTTCATCACATTTATAGATGATCTGTCCAGATATGACTATGTTTATCTAATACATGAAAAAGTCTCAAGTCGTTGATAATCTTGAAGTGTACATAAATGAGGTTAAGAGACAATTAGATAGAAAAGTTAAAATTGTTAGATCTAACAAGGGTGGCAAATTTTATGATATATATGATGGATCTGGTCAGAATATTGGTCATTTTGCTAGATTCTTAGAACAACAGGGTATTTGTGCTCAATATGCATTACCAGGTGTGCCACAACAGAATGATGTTGCTGAAAGGTAAAATCGTACTGT